TAATTTTGATAAACCATAACACACTCACAAACATTAAATAAGAGGAATAATGTAAAAAAAAGTTGGTCAGTTTCTTAGTCGATTAGTTACCAGCTTAAGGTAATTTACCAAAAACACACTAACAAATAATACAGTGACTTTATTAGATTTTGTTTTTGCTCTAAAATAAGGTTTAATTAATGTAAGAACCAGAACCTACTACATCATGCTAGTAACTCAGTGTTTTTTAAATTTAGTCCAATGTGAATTTAGTGACATTTCATGACTTAAATGATCATTTCCCTCAACATTTTATTGTCAGATCACCTCTGTTGCACTACAGCTGCACTGCTTATTGAATTTGCAGCAGTAATCATATTAAAGAACACTTACAGTCGCTTTTAAACTGTGTATTTAACTGATTGTAACAAGCTTTCACCTGTAAATACTATGAATTAGGTGCTGTTGTAGCAAGGCGGCTGTGTACTTTGTATATATCACAGTTATGCCAATCCTACTGCTTTATTATTCATTCCGAACATCAGCTACATGCTCCTTCTGTCGGTGCTAAATGACAATAAAGGAGAATCTAAACTAGCTCGGCTTTTACTGTAGAGCTGCTTTCAGAGCTCATGTTTCAAAAAAATCAACGCCACGTTTACCGAAATATCGCTTTGATAACAAAAGCAGGATGTGGTTCATCGTTTCCTCTCCTCTGCCACTTTCTCATCCACCTTCATGATTTATAAAACGCTTACCTCCACAAGTTCACTCACTAATTTGCAAAGGAAAAGTGTGAGAGGTAAGTTGCTTTGGGTAGTAAATGTATGATTTTTAAATCATTTTGGATTTTTTTCCAATCTCCAGGTTGGGACGTAACACCAGTAGGGCTGATTGATGTGCAAAAAAAGTCCTATTGGGATATTTTTTTGACAGATTTCGCCACATTAGTTCCAATTTTAGTAGGATTTGGTCATTTTTGCCTTTTCCCCCCATTGAAACAAATCTAAAAATAATGGATTTTTTTCGTTGCAACATCAGGAACCTTTAAAATACCAAAGCGTACGCCTTCAATCAGACAGACAACGGCGTTAAGTAAAGAATTTATTATAAAATGTATTACACTATAAAGTGTCAGAAGTACTAAGAACATGGCATTCCAAGACATGCTAAAAGAATGTAACATAAATAGCGACAAAAAGACTTGTGCAATGCGGCGATTAGACCGGAGTCTCTGAGGGGGAAGTCTCTCCTCGTCCAGCAGAAACATCTTTTACCTTCAGATCCACCTGTTTGGGTCTCGGTCTGAACCGTCCGGAGGGGAAAAAAGACACCCGAATGGAGACAAAGTTGATAATATTATTCTCAGCTTTTACAAAATAATGTGCCTGAAACAAGAGAAACAGACATGATATTCACCTCCCTTTCTGAAACATCACTTCTCAGCTTGTAATCTGTACAAGGCAATAATAATAATAATAATAATATGAGAGGAATGAACGAGTGCGTTTTAGGCACACAACATTGGCAATGATAATACACAACGTCAACAAAAGCTTCAAGAAAAACAAAATAAATTTGGGGACATTTCACTTCATCGTGTTTTTGTACACATGTTGAACTCTCACCTCTTGTTTTTATCTGTCACCATATTCTTAGGAAAACATGACATACATTCATTTTGCCTCAACATGTCTGGGCAAAAAAAAAAAAAAAGGAAAGCTGCAGAAAGGTGAGAATGAATTTTGTGGAAATAGGCCTCGAGTATTTACATCACAGCTGCAAGTTCGCTGTGTTGATTGGCAAGTTCAGGCTGAGACAAAAATAGTGAGAGAAGTACAGTATTTGAAAAGTTTAGCTGCGAACAGATGGTAACACTGGAGGAAGTGAAGCAGACACCAAATACTGCACTCTGGCACAAAGCTCATCTTCTGAAAAAGGCCGAAACTTCTTCTTTATTTAGGAATCAAACTCTTCCCAACATCAACACACATATATGTACTGAAAAATGTTTTCCAAGTGAGGGCACAAACATTAGAAAATACCAGCTGACACAAAAGTGAAAATGCTTTTTTCTGGGACATTTCTGTCATCAGCAGCCTTTGGCCTTTTTTTTTTTTTTCTTTTTTAATTTTTAGGTTTCTTCTTTTCAGCTAACAATACTAACTTGACGCCATCTCTTCCCTGCTTTTTCGCTGACCGCGCCGAGCTGCAGCTTCAGGTTATAAAAAGACAAAGTGAAAGGAGATGTGAAGCCACGCGTGGCCGGCCAACACTGACAGCGATACTGAGAGGAGCTCAAATTTAGCTTGAGGTGGCGTCGATGCCACTGTGCAAAGAATCTGACACTGTGGACGGTAACTGGATTGTTGTCGCCCCTGCGTTGGTTTGCTAATGCAGCAAAACCTGTTGAGGAAGCATTGAAGATGCGCAGTGTCAGGAGTGTTTACTGTAACAAGCTGCTGATTGTGAGAGGTTTCAGCTCAGTAGAAAAGGTTAGAAATGATCCCAATTACAAAAGTCACCTCTCGAGATGTTTTTTTTTATTTTTTAGCATTTTGGTGGCACTTTTTTTGTTCAAAGAAAATCCATTTGAGTTGGACCCTGGAGCTCAGCAGGATCAGCACCAAACTGCACCCTGTCTGCCATGATGGTTTTTAACATCAGTGCTCTAAAGCTTCGCAGCTCTGCAGATATGCAGTGAGGACTCTTCAATAAGACACTATAGAAAAAAAACTCTCCCTCTTCTGTAAAAATGGCTACAGTTCCCTTTGTGTGAATGGAAAATGACGAAGTGAAAACATTTAGAGAGACACTCTAGTTTACAGGTCCCACAGTTTCCTCAGAACATTCATGCCAGAACATCTAGAGAGTGTTCAATTGATTAACATAACAGAAAGATGGACGAAGCCTCCGTGACGTCACCCACAGGTTTCCTGACGCTCCAGCCGTCATCCTATTGGTGGTAACTTGCTCCTTCTAACTCCCAGCTCATCTAGAGAGTGAATCTAATTAATCATCGAGACTAAAACGGTTTCATGCACCAGGCTGTAAACATGTTTATATCTGCTGTAAATTTGGCATTTTAACATTAAGGTCAATGGGGATTGGCTCACGTAGCCAGTCCTTGGAGAATGGTCAGAACTCACCTATCATCCTTCTACTAAAGGGGACAAAAATGCTCAGGCTTGTTTGTATATGTGTAAGCCGATCTACATCATGCTGGGGAGTGTTAAGCCCAGGACGCAGCGCTGGTGTCCCTGCCAAATAGGAGAACTTGTTTTGGTGGCAAACACAGTCATCAATATGGATAATTCACCTGCCTTATTGAGAGGAACAAATCTTTAACAAAACTTTGTATTGTTAGCGCTGAGGTTGTTTTCCACAGCTAAGGTAATAAAAGTGAAACAGGAAGAGAAAGCAAAGAATGGCAGCTTGTACCAGCTGTCAACATCTGCTGAGTCAGACTAATGGTGATTTACTCACTTTTAGTTGTATTTCAAATTCATTAAGTCCAAACAACTGTGAGAACACAACGTACAGTTTCTTTCAGTTAATAAGTCAAATATTAACCTTCGCTTTTGGTTTCCATTTTCTCTGTGGTTGTAGTAAATGTTAAGTTGAGGCTGAATTTAGGATTGAATCAGGATTGAGTCCAAACAGACTTGAGAACTATTAAAACAGGCCTCATTATTACTCTTAAACTGTTATACCGCTGATCATAGTGAGAGGTTAAAGTAACGTACTATTACTCAGTAGCGCACTGATTTGCAAAAGTCTGAGATGTGACGTTGACAGAAGACAATCCAATTTCACTCGCCTACAAAACTGTTTCAAATGAAACATTCTTTCACAATAAGCTAACTAGAGAGATCTTTTGAAGACATTTGTCCAATAGACTGCACACCCAAATTGGAGATGCTTGTTTGACATATTGCAAAGACACGCTGTAGAAATTACAGCATTGCCTGAGCTTGTAAATTAGAATTTAGCACCTTTAAGGGAAAATAAACTGAAACTTGTAAGACTGATGGGTGAGAAAAGTCTGAGATAAACTTTTAGGCCTGACTCGAGACAGAAACTGTGCTGGATTAGTTTGACGTTGCAGTTTGTTCATGTTAAACTTCAAAGAAAACTTTGAGGAACTTCTGGGACCCGTAAAGAAAGAATTAGCCTAACATTAATGCAGAAAATATCTTAGCTGTTGTGTTATTTGGATAGATAGATGGATGGATGAAGGAATATTTATTCAAGATTAGCTTTAAAAACCCACAAGTACACCCGTTCAACATGAATTTTTCCCTTTGACCTGCAGCTCCTGCAGAGCTCATCGACTCACCACTGAGTCTAATAAGAAACACTCTGTTTTCTCATAAACATACAGCTCTGTTTGCTTGTTTTTTGGAGAGAGAAATTCAGTTTTAAAAATCTTACAACATGAACCGAGCGTTCATTTTTTTACCCTTTTCCTGTGTAAACTGTAAAATGGCCTTTTCCTTTCTCTTGACAGATGCCTGCTTATAGACTTGTTTTAAAATTTATTTTACTATTAGTGTGAACAAGGCACAGGTCTTCAAATGTTTGGAACAAACTCCTATTTTTTATTATAACTAGACTGTTTGTGCTCTTTAGGGAGGTAGAAGGCCACGAAGGCACACTGAAAAAAATGCTGTTAATTTATTAAACGCTAAGCTGAGCAGCCCAATGTCACGTCAGTAGATCAGAAGCGAGGACGGAGATGAAGTTAAATGGAACTGACAGATGGAGCGGGTAAAGATGGCCGCCTCCTACATGTACAGTGTTAAACACACACAGTCCTCAGGGTTGGACATGAGGATGCAGGTCCAAACGGGAGGCTGCCGTCTTTTCAGCCACGTCCATCCCTTCGTGTGCAGATTATATAAATTTAGCTTTTCCTAACTTTTTGAGTGTTAGCTGTAAGAGGAGCGAGTGTGCAGTAGAGTCGGAGGGATATTAATAAGCAGCACGACGAGATTTAAGAACAGAATAAAAACACAGGGTTCCTCTTTGGAGCTCAGGACGTTCAGTTCTTTCACAACATTCATAGTGGAAGGAAAGGTCGGCTGTACAGGTGTGGAGAGCACAAACACAACATCTGGTTCATACGCCAACGTGATGGAGCGATTAAAGAGCGAGCAGCTGGACTCTGTAACGATTGCACTTCTTTCACACATAAGTCTGTGTCCAGTTTTAAGGGGAAACATGTGACGTTTGGCGAGCGCAGAGGGCCTCCTCAGCGGGATATGACGGAGCTGATGGAGTTGTACGACGTGCCACCGTTGCAGGTGGGTGGGTATCCGTTGGCGGCTCCACCCAGCGCCTCCATGTTGACCCTAAACACGGGAGATGCTTTGAGGAGGAAGTCTGCTGCGTCTCGGCGGCCGAGCTCCCTCAGCTTGGCCATCAGCACGCCCACCGTGCTGGCCGGTCGCCCGCTCCACTCCTGCAGCAGCGCCGCTGTCGGGCTAGGCTGCAGCACGGCCTGCTGGGAGTCCGGGTCCGAGTCCAGCTCAGGGGTGCCGTTTGGAGTCCCGTTGCTGTGTTTGGCCACCAGGTCTGTGAGGCCCAGGTTCATGGCCAGCAGGCACCAGTCTTTCCCCAGAGCGTCGGGAGGGTCCAGCATGCGGCAGAGCTTCCTGCGGGCCAACAGAGGGACGTCTGATATGTGGACGTCCGTTCCCAGAATCGCCTGCTGGTAAACCTCAGCGCAGCCGAAGGACAGGATGCTGCTGAAGCTCTCCCGGTAGCCGCCCATGGTGTTGGTGAGCGAGGTTTCCCGCTGGACTTGAGCCCGGAAAAAATCTTTGGGTTGGTAGACCATGATGGGGGCGTGGTGTTCCCGCAGCTGCTGAGGGCTCAGGTAGTATTTGGCGGTGAGCTGTCCGGGCAGCGTGGAGGCCAGCAGGTTCTCTGTTATACTACAGACAGTGTCCAACAGGGTGTAGCACTTGGCCCGCTCCGAGTCGTGTCCGCGGACCTGGATCTCTACGCCCTGGCCGTGGTTGACCAGCAGGATCATGGCCTCCACTCCTGCCTGGCTCACTTTGGCTCCGTTGGTCCACAGGTGAATATCTCCATCGATATCCTCACTGCCCTCCTCCTCAGGCTTCTGCTGGTGGCTCCAGCGACACAGATTCACCTGCAGCTTGTGAAAGAGGCCACAGGGGAAGGCGGTGAGGTGCTCCGCGGGGACGAGCCGGACTCCTCCGTAGATCAGCGACTCCTCCTCCTCCTCCTCAGTCCAGGAGCGGTGGAGGCCGTTCGTCTTGATGAGGGCGGGAACGTCCACCATGGAGGGGTTGGTGACGTCGCGGGCGCAGACGTCCATGGCGTCCAGGATCTGTAGCAGCTCATCCACGTCGCTTTCGGGGGCCAGAGCTTGAACCTCCTCCAGCCTGTAGCGCCCCCTGTAGTGGTGAATGGCTTTGGGCGTCTCCACAGAGAGCAGCTTGCCGAGGATGTTGCTGCAGAGCCAGCGAGGCTCCAGCAGAACGACATCCTGAACCGTCTCACTCTGCATGATGTTGATCTGAGGAAGGAAGGAGGAAACAAGGGAAGGAAAGAATTAGAAATATGAAGAACAAGTGTTCAGACACAGAGGGACCAACAGATGTGCATTAAAGAACAAATGTGAGAAGAAGAACTGAGAATTTGAACCGAAATTAATCAAACATTAATAAAGACAGATAATTATTCAAATATAAAAAGACTGTAAATAAACAAACTCCCCCAAAAAGGAAACAGTTAATTTAAGAAAAGACTGCCGGCTAGAGAGACCAATGGGCTTCATTTGTGTAAAAAAAAACTGCAAAGAGATAAAGAAACTTTTGGTTCCTCATTTGACTTCCTGAGCTGAGTCACTCTGGTAAACAGAACAACAGAATGCAATTTGAAGTAATTATTGGCAGATGAGAACATGTTTTGTGTTTTCATGAACCAACAGCGCACCCTGGTGGGAGTCTGACAAACGGACGGTCAGCTGGTAAAGATACAAAGAGAAAAACAGAACTTTCACAAAGCCTTCATGTTTGTGAACCAGCGCTCACCTCTCCCATGCTGTGGAGCTGCAGGGCCAGAGATCGGAGGTGATCCTGGCTGACCAGCGGGTTGATGTGCTCCTGGACGTCGCTGACAAACTGCTGCCATGATGTGAGCTGGTTGGGTCCGCTCATCTTCCTCCAGGCCGGCAGGGTGGCCAGCAGACGCTCCGACAGCAGCGTCATCGGACTACACCTCTGCAACGTCAAGAAATGAGTCACTGTAAAAATTCTGTGTTATCCCCATAAAAATAACAGACTGGAAACTTTATCAGGGCGAAAGATGTTGTAGTATGTGGCACTAGTTCAAAATATATACTTAAGCTATCCTTTGAAGCCATGAAACAAATATAAATGTGATTATTTACATATTTTTAGGTCCATGACTAAATAGAACTGAGCGCGGAATGGGAATGTTCATTTATATATTCAAGATTATTGAGAAAACCGTCTAATTTTCAACCAAGTAAACGGTGTTTTCATCTGAGCATCGTCTTTTTTTTGTTTTTTATTTGTTAGCTGTCATTGTGTGCATATGCTGTTCAAATAAAAGTCAGTGTTTCCAAGCAGTTAAACAGAATTCGGAGCTCACAGAGATGACGCTGCTGCGAAGCTCCTGCAGGTGACTTCTGAGCAGCTTCATGTCTTTAGAGTTTGAGGCTCCGGCGTCCATCACAAACAGCTTGTCGCTGATTTGCAGGTCGTTCCCAAACCTGGAAAAAGAAAACACAACCCATTTAAAATCTTTTTAAAAGGAGGACTGATAGAAATGTATGTTTCATAAAAGGTGAAAAGAAACCCAGGAACTGTTCAGAAATAATGAAGAGCTTCATGCAGATGTTTTGAATTGTCAAACAGATGCAACTACAAATAATACAATCAAAGGATGAGTGTTTTATTTCCCATTAATGTCTTGATTGTGGTTTTATGCTTCATGCTAATTTTGGACTCTGCATGTCCAATTTAGAGTTTTGGGAGAACAAGGAGTTGCACAAGCTTTACCTGCTGTGAGTCACTACATTTTTTTAACCATCTGTCTCTTCAATGTGAGAAGTGAAAAGAAATGTTCCAAAAAAAACCGAAAACAAGAAAACATCTATATTAGGGCTGGGGTTTGATAGATTTTTTATAAATTCTGAATCCAGTATCAGAACAAATGATTAAATCTGTACTCTTCTGAATAGCTTTTATCACTACAGTTGAAGTCACTCACCTCAGAGACCCTGTACGATTCAGTCTTTAGTGGTTTCTACAAAATTTATCAGCTCAAAATTAGGTAGAATAATTCATTTTTATAACCTGCAGCTTTAACCTGAAAATAAGCTGAACAGCAGAGGAAATGAAAAGCTGATTACTGATTGATAGCATATGCTAGAACGTCATCCTGGAAAATTCAAAACAGTGTGCTAAATGAGCTCAAAACAGTGTTTTGATGAATAGAAAGTTGAACATAATGTGCTGCAACCAGTTGATGGTCTCTCTAGAGAGGAGTTGCCACAGTGTTGAACTACAAAACTACAGTTCATTGGAAGTAATAGAGTGATGTTATGTTGTCTTTTTACTCATAAACAGTTGTTGGCAGAGTTCAGTCAGTGACATGAAATGAAATGAAATGAAAAATACTTTATTTATTCCAGAAGGGAAATTCAATTCATGAGAGCACATGAACAAATTGAATAAAGCTTTGTCACAAAATTAACACTAACTAGCCACAGCTGGTCTAATCTGCTGGAGGAAGTTGCTGATAGTCATTCAGCTCATCTTTGTTAATAAGAAATAACCAGGAGAGATGAAAGGTTTGATAAAAGATTAATTATTGCTGAAGCTTAATAGGATCCAAAATGGAAGCAGATATTAGAAATCACCCCTAATCTCCATCTTGTGTGCCTCGTGTTTGAGTCCTGACCTGTTCCTGACTTCTTTGAGCAGCGCTCTCTCCTTGTCGTAGATGAACTCTCCAGAAAAAGCTCTGGGGACGTCGGCCAGGTCAGCATGTGTCGCCACCAGGACGACCATGAGAGGCTGCTGGATCCGACCTCCGAACGCTGGAGAAAGACAAGAAAACACAAAAGTTTAAACATTTACCTTTAAACCTTCACTGACGGTACTTACAATTAAACAATAATATGACAACATGAAACAGATGACTGTCGAGTCCCACCCACTTCACAGCCCCCTCCACATTATTACAACTGCAACATTCAATCGATTGATGAATGAGTTGTAAACTATTAGGTTAATAAACAAGTTATCAGGAAAGTCTAAATTTTCTTATTTTAGTTCCTTAATGTGAATATTTTCTAGTTTCTTGCCTCCTCTTTGACAGTAAACTGAATATTTTTGGCTTCTATAGACCAAAAAATGAATTGATTAATTGAGAAAACATTGACAGACTAATTGAAAACACAAAAGTCATGAATTGCAGCCTTAAATAGTTACAGTCATTTATGTCATGGAGGACAACATTATAGAAGTGAGTTAAGTTTACACACAAATGTACTTTATATCTTCCTGTTATTTCTTCGGATACATGATATAATGATAACAACAATAATATAAATATAACCACACACTCCATTATGCCAACCTATGAATATGGCTCTGTTGCACAACCTTTAAATGTATAGCTGCATATATTACTATTGTGTTATTAATGTACACTGTCCTGTCTGAGCCTATATGTTGTTTGCACTTCATATTGTTGTCTGTTAACATGTCACACTACAGTCCTGTAGACATGAACCTTCAATGTGCACTTTGTGGCTGAGATTCCAATAAAAAGAAACTAGAACTTGAACTACTGGCAGATTCAGCAGCCATCAGAACAAAGCTACATGTTCCTACACACAGGTTTAATAACAAGTTATGGTCTGGTGAAATTCATGTCATTCAGCTTATACAAGTATGTTTTGATTACACAAAGCCCATAAAGATACACTAAAAACCACAGAAACCCTTTCAAACATATTGACAGTCAATTTTTGACATCAACTGATGATGAACGGACTCAACGGTTATCTGTTCTTAACACTTTTTTCCTTTATGGATAACTGATATTATTCCAAATTACTTAAATAATTCCCATAAACAGCTGTTCATGTATGTGAAAGTTTTACAGACACACTGGAGTCATGCAGTTAACATCACAGATGTGTTGCCAGGGAGGGATGTAAACAGCAACCAAGATGGCAGGTGAGAACTCCTTTGTGGAGAGGTGGGACGCTGCCCAACAGCCAACAGCTCCATATTTGGGTTGCACCAAATCATCATCGTCACATATTTTAGGATCACAAAATACACTGATAACTTCTTGCAGTTGCAGTAAGAACAGGACAGAGGCAGGTGTCTCCTCACCGATGTTGTCCTGTGGCAGAGTGAGAGCTTTGAGCAGGTTCAGCCAGTAGGTGATGTGGCTCAGCTGGGTTTCATACGGCTCCTCGAGGCTGAACAGAACCAGGTGAATCGCTGTGACGTCGTTGGCTGCAAAGTAGTCGTAGGAGCAGTAGTAGACAGGATTCCCCGAAAACTCCCACACGCTGAAATCCCCCACACCTGCAGAGAGCGAAACACGTATGGCATCTCAACTTATTTTGAAAATACAAAGTTAACCATGAATGTTCACAGCTCAGAATTCAGTTGTATTGTGTATTATTCGAGTTTAAACTCTCACCGTGGATGTTGGCGTGCTGGATGTCGATGGCCTTCGTGGCCTGTTCGTCGGCCGTGGACAGAGCGTTGTGGACCGGAGAGAAAACCTCCAGGACGCCTTTGGTCAGGCTGGGCTCAAACATCATGCTGCGACTCCTCACGCTTACATTCTCGCAGCCCGGATACAGGTTGGAAATGCTCACTGACACTGAACACAGGAAGAAGAAGCAGATGGAAACTGTTAACCGTGTCCACGGCAGGGTTAGATTTAGTTTCTTTCTGTATTATAACCTTTTAATAAGAAAGAAACTGAATAGGAAAAACATGGGATCTGATGCATCACACATTTCAAACTCATTCAGTGAGTCTTTTTGTTGTGTGTGTGAATAAATGTAATCATTTAAAGTTTATTTTAATAGGTTTTTGTATCTGTTGTGTCAGTGGATAGATTTTGTGTCTCACTGCCTGAATGATCTTTTGGAGGTTTCCGCTGCTCACAATATTTTCCATCTGTGACACACAATAGCTGTTGGTTTCTATTAAAAAAACAGGTTTTCTACAAACCAAAAGACGGTTGTGCTTCATTTTCAATCAATTCTCCACTGATCTATTGAAATTAAACATTTGGGTTGCACCAGCAAAAAGTAATTTAATCTAAGATTAGTTCTAGACACAGTTTAGAAAATGAGTGAATGCAGATTTAAAATTAAGCAGAGTTCAGTTGCACAATTAAAAACTAATCTCAGTTTAATTCAAGTTTATTGATTTAAACTGACAATAAACAGATGATTGCTAACCCAAATTTAAAGTAAACAATCAAAACATAAAGTTTTGAACAGAAATAAGTTGAATTGAGGTTTAGAGTAAAAACTAAACTGAGGTTTGAGTAGAAATTCAAATTTAATCTGGCTTTATTTTAAGCTAGTTTGGTGCAACATAATTTTAAGTTAACTGTGATTTATCTGAGTTTAAAAATGAAACCTTTTTAGTACAACCCAGAATTGGAGGTTTTCCAGTGCAGATGTGTAGAGAGAGAAGTGAAGCCAAGTCTCTAAAATGTCCAGTCCAGCTCAACCCATTTCACTGCAACAGCACCCACAGTCTACTATCCACCAAATAACTACACACTTGTCAACACATGGGGGCGCTGTTTCAATGCAAATAAATCCACTGTGCAGCAAAAAACGCTTGATTTCTTTGACACACTGCAGGACCACACCTACAGTTTGTTTTTGTAGTCTTGAATCACAGTCAAAAATGCCTCTTTTTTTTTGCTTTTGCAGTTTTGAAACATTTGTTTTCGTCCACATTGCTTCACTGTTGCGTAATCAGGGCGGTACAGAATAAAAAGAGAACACATCAAGAATGTTCACTGTGACTGCATGCTGTGGCAAACAGCTACAGAGGTATACTGAGGTGAAGTGTTCGATGCGTACGTGACATGAAAGATTCAGCTGGACTGGTCACTTTAAAAAATCTGCAACAGTGCTTGGCCCAGAAAAAATGAATGTTGTACACTTTGACTACAGGAAGATTGGTTATACTTGTTAGGAGTCTTGTGATCTGTGTGAAATCACAGTAAAACAGCAGTTTCAAATGACCAGCAGTGTTAATTGGGAGGCCTCTCACTTGCTGTTTTGAAACACCTTTGGAAAATGATGAGGGAAATATTACAGTGCATGAAAACCTGACTTATCGGTCATGTGGGTTTTCTGATTTTAGGTCAGACAGCTTCTTTAATAATAACAGCTGCTGCCGGTTCAGACTTCAGGGATGCAAAGCTGCTCATATGTCTGTGTCACCACCTTTTCTCTTCATAATGGGTGATTTGTAAGTGTCGACAACTGAAAACTGAGGAACGCCTTTCATAGTGCAGCCTCTCTCCAGTGTAGCTCTGCGCTGTTTCACAGATTACTACTGAGAATGAATAAAAGAAATGAGTGAAGCATGAGCAAGGTGAAAGCCCAGAAATCAATGCACAGCACACAATATCTTTTTTTTTTTTTAGATGTCAGCTTGTTGTAAAGTTGTGAAGTTACGAACGAATATGCATAAACACTTGCATTAAGTTATTTTGGATATGTACAAGTAGCCAAACGGACATCGTGGCGGCACTTGCTCCCTATCAGCGCCATTTCTTTGTGTTTCACTGTGGACTCATGTCACGTATCGCTGCAGATATAACACAGAGTCAATACGGACCATTACTGAATTCAGCCAGGATTGAAAGAACAAGAAAAGGCTCTTTCAACGCCCCTTCAGCCCTGACAGAGGCTACAGATTTTCAGATAGTATAGAGGATGGGATCAGTAACTCTATATGGCTCACGCAACTGACCATTATCGGAGCGAGTATCGCGTCTGTCTGGGAGGTAATGGCTCTGAGCGCCGCAAAATAGACCGGTTAAAGGAGGCACAATGGTACGTGTATGTGTGTACCAGGGAGGGCAGATAGAGTGCAAATGCAGAAAGACAAAGTGTGAGAGTGTGTGCAGGTCCGTCTTGTTTACACTACAGCGAACACGTCAGAGAGTCTTACCACAGACCTGTCGCTGTGTGCAGCACTGACCTCATGAAAAGGCTTTTCTGGAGGCCAGGAGCAGTTAAAAACACCGACTGTTTGCGCTCTAAGATTCTAGCTGGGGTCACTGCAGTAATGGGGTTAATGTTTAGGGGTTACTGGGTTAGTTGTCAGAGTGAATACAGGGTGAGCAGCTGAGCAATGTTTGCACTGGTGCTTTTTATTTTGACTGTGAATGCAGGGTTTGTAGAAGAATTAGACAAAGTGGGTGTCGTTAATGTTTTTCTTTCAGCCCATTTGCAGTAATGCTACATCCATGGAAAAGGTGGAGGTTTGCCGCAGTCTTGTATGATACTCCCACAAGGGGTCACCTGAGTGTCACATTCTGTACAGACGTTCTAACATAACCTGTATGTAAAAGATGGACCAAGCCTCCAGGTCTGAGCAGTAAAGTCAGTGTGTAAGTGCCTTAAACCGGCATTCTTTCTGACAGCCTGCAGGGGGCGACTCCTTTGGCTACAAATACAAAGGCGACTGAGTTATTCCGTCATAAATCATCTGAGGCGTTCTGCTCGACCATCTCTGATTTGCTTGCAGCTTTGCTATCCTAAAAAAAAAGATATTTCCTAAGAAATCTGTGAAATTTCCTTAGAAGCACGTTCTGGGATACAATTAAAACAAAACAAAAAACTGCCTGTTGAGCACCTTTCAGAATGTTTTTTCAAGCATTGGAAGTTAAATGACAATATCTTAGGAACTATTAAAGATAAAAACCAGAAATGTTCACTGATATTTCTTATCATGTCATTGATTAAGAATCTATAATTTTCAATTCAGTTTTATTTCCATCCATCCATCCATCATCTATACACCGCTTAATCCTCATTAGGGTCATGGGGGCCTGGAGTCTATCCCAGCCGACTTAAGGCAAAGGCAGGGGACACCCTGGACAGGTCACCAGTCTATCACAGGGCTACACTTAGAGACAGACAACCAAGCACACTCACATTCACACCTACAGATGATTTAGAATCACCAATTAACCTCAACATGTTTTTGGACTTGTAGGAGGAAGCCGGAGAACCTGGAGAGAACCCACGCTGCATGCAAACTCCACGCAGAAAGATCCCGTTGCCGGGACGTGAACCGGCGACCTTCTTGCTGTGAGGCGACAGTGCTACCAACTGCGCCACCTTGCAGCCCCAGTGTTTTTTTCTATAGGGCCAATTCACACCATATCATGGGTAAGATCTTACAAATATTTGTACGTCAGTTAGTTATATTTTCTGAACCACATGTAGCTTCATGTACAATATGAAACTAAATCTATACAATACTTTATAATATGAAGTTCTGGGTCACAATGAACTTCCCTCTGCCTCCCAAAAATCATCATTATTGGACAGAATAAAGCTTGTTGTTCCAAACTGATTAATTTCATCAAACTTTATTGACACCATGTGTAAACACTGACAGCTGCCACTTTGCATCACTGTGACCACTGTAGTACACCCACAACTTTCCAGCACGTACTGTGGTTTCACTTGTCTGAAACCAACCACTGATTCATCAGTAAGTCCATCCAGAGAAAATGAACCACCAAATAAATGATCATCAGCTCTCTGATTTTTCCCTCCAGCACAAAAACAAACTCAGTAAAGTCATAATGAGGATGATTACATGGGATTGTTTTCATGTGACGGTTTTACACGTGTGTGTCTTCATTATGCTATAAGAGGCAGCAGTATGCATGCTCGACAGCAGTGTACATGTGCAAAATACATAAATACGACCTACTGTGCATGTATGGAAATAGTCCTCTGACTGGACTAGAACAGTAGACAACAACAAAAACAACTTCCTTGCACATGTGCAATATAATCAAGGCTTAAAAGGTGCTGAAAAACTCCTGAAACTTTGCCTCAGAAGTGGTGAAAATTGGTCTTTTTTTGGGTCCTTGGCATGAGTGTTAAAGACTGAAATGAAAAGTGTGCCCATCTTTTCAAAAAAGATATTTTCTTAGTTATATTTAGAGAACTATTTCCAAAATCCTACTCGGATTAGGCTATCTAGTAATACTTTTGTTTTTGTTGTACAACTTGTCATACCGGCTCAATCATTTCTGAAAGGTCTATGATTTAACTAGGTGTTCTATATGTTCTGTTCTGTATTATTGTGACCACTCAGGAGCACCTGTGTAGCTTTTGCTGTGACTTGAAGTTAAAATGCTGCTGTACTTACAAATATGCAGCATCTATGATCTTTTTTAATTTTAGCTTTAAATTCTGTAAGTTAAATATGAATTTTAACCAAAAGAACTGAGGGCTCAACCTACAAATAGGAAACCTAGTTGTTGTCAACTGGCATCATTTTCGTGCTTGAAAACCTCCTCAAAATGAGAAAACCGCTGCAGGTCATGGTGAACTTGATGAATTATAAATGTCTAAAAACAAACACTCCTACAGCACGGTAAATGGCTAATGAATTATTCTGGACAGTTTCAGCAGAATAAATAATGTGTGTCACCTACCTGCAGGTTTGGAGTTGATGGGGGAGTTGGGGTGGCGTGCTGTGTTGGTCATACGTGTCCTCCTCCTCCTGAAGAAGCTCCTCAGGATGCCACACTTCAGAGACTCCAGCAGGCTGCTCTTGCCGGCTCCGGAGTGTCCGAACAGCTTTAGTTTGATCCTGGGCTGGACGGTCTGAGTGGGCCGCAGCTGCTGGATATAGCTCAGTTTGTGGTTGTCCTGACCCAAAAAACAACAACAACACACCACGTTAGAAGATTTACTAAAAACCACAGACAGTTCTGATCACATTAATCTACGGTGCAGCGTGGACTCCCACATGCTTTCACTTCAAGGAGCCCCAGAAATCAGACGACACACTTCAATTCGTCAGTTTGTTCCACATACTTCTTTGAGAACTTCCAAACACATCAGTGCTTGCAGAACACATCCTATTTCCTGCTTATGTATATGTCAACCTTTAACAGAGAACATACAGCTGTTTAAGGTTTGCAGACACTCGCCAAAGTAGAATTACTATCTTTGCTGAATTTTGCCTTGTGTTGGGGTTCCATGGGCTGATACAAATCCACAGCCCACAGATGAAATAAGTTTTGTTGAGTAAAACATGTGGGCCGATGTTTTTTTTTAATGTAAACCGCTGCATGACAATCAGTTTAAAAAAAAATAAAAAATCTCGTTTTTATGGTGGATGCATCCATTTTCTTTTGCTTATCTGAACATATTGGCAGCAGGATAAGCAAGACATTCCAGGTATTCCTCTCTCCAGCAACATTTTCCAGTTTCTCCAGGGGGATCCTGAGGCGTTTCCAGATCAATCGCAATTTGCAATCCCTCCAGCAAGTTCTTGTTCTACCCCAGTGTGTACTCCCAGTTGGACGTGCCCAGAAAACCTCCAAAGAAAGATGCCCAGGAGGCATCCGAATAGGCTTTTTGTAGATGACATGGTTCTGTTAGGGCTGCAAGGTGGCGCACTTGGTTAGCACTGTTGCCTCGCAGCAAGAAGGTTGCCGGTTCGCGTCCTGGTGGGGGCGTGGAGTTTGCATGTTCTCAGCATGGGTTCTCTCGGGGTTCTCCAGCTTCCTCCCACACAGTTGAGGTTAATTGGTGATTCTAAATTGTCCGTAGGTGTGAATGTGAGTGTGCTTGGTTGTCTGTCTCTAAGTGTGGCTCTGCGATAGACTGGCGACCTGTCCAGGTGTCCCCTGCCTTCGCACTAAGTTGGCTGGGATAGACTCCAGCCCCCCCGCGACCCTAATGAGGATTAAGCGGTGTATAGATAATGGATGGATGGATGGTTCTGTTATTTGGATGGTTCACTCCACATCATCACCACGTGATTCAATGCAATAAACAGATAAGTTAAAATGTAATGGAGGAAGTAGAAATATATTTAGTGAAGCTTAAATGCTTGCAGCCTAAAACATGTAAATAACCCATAAAAGAAACAATATTTAAATGAATGTAGCTCCGTATGTTATTATTGTGGTTGTTACATGGCTAAAAAAGGAAACCATAATGTAAGTTGTGAGTAAATAATCTTTACTTTTTGCTACAATGTTTTTTTTCCCCCCAATTATTCTGTTTGAGGTCTGTCTTCTTAATGCTTTTTAAATGAATCCACCCACCAACATGACAAAGTTAATCTGTGTAAAAAAACAGGGCACGCACTCAGATATTCAAACAACAAAAGCCATTTCCAAAGACAGCTGCCTCCTTCCACATTTGTAAGACAGTTGTTTAACCATCCAATAGATGAGTCATACATCAGAAGTGGCCTCAAACGCTGAGAGTGGTTGTGTGGGATGAGAAAGCTCGTCCTACTCCCACCTGGGTTACGCTCAGGCGTTCAGTAAATAAAGTTTCTAATTTCAATAAGCGTGATTCACAGAATACAACTTGTTGTTTTTAAATAATTTAAGTTGAATGCGACGTGTTGTCTTTTTTAAGTTTAAGGAACAGTACGATATTTAAAAAAAATTAAAATAAATTGGAATAGTCAATCTTTCTTCAAATCTGGCGTCCATGTGCCAAAGCGTCTTAAATTAGCCCAGCATATGCAGAGGATGACTGTTTTCACAGTTGCTGCTTTCATGTTTTCACACTGTGCCCTGAATCCCAGCAGGTTTTCTGGAAAAATGGTTCAAAAGAGAAGTTGGCACATTTTAGTTTTCAATATGAAGTCAGTGTGGTTTGCTTTGAACGTGACTGAAGTGAGATTGGGACACTGGAAGAATTTCCCCGAACACCTGTGAAGGGAAAAGCTGAATATCATGAAACCAGAGGGCTTCAGCGTTGACCACAGGAGAACATGCTCTGTCAGGCTGAAGTTCCTTTGAGCAACATATTGAAATAAAATACAAATAAATACCTTTTCTCGAGGATTTATTCAACACCTACTAAATAAGGCTACGTTCACACTGCAAGCCTTAGTGATTAAATCAGATTCACTGGCTGGTCACATATTTCCTTTAAATGTGTCCGATGTCAGATTTCAGTTTTTATGGTCCCTGACTGAGGTGCACACGCAAACAAAGACACCAGACTCCTTCACCTGATTCATCAGAGGCTGTCAAGCATTTCCAATGACTAATACCAGGATTAATCACCCAAAACACAGTAAAACTCACTGTAAAACAGTAACTCATCTGACATGATCACGGTGCTGGTTTGAGTCTTTACTTTCTTTAAAGTTTGCTTTAAAGGCTCTTAATTTGCAGCCATGTTCTTCTGTGTGTCCGTTCAACCACTGGTTTCTATATGCTTTGAAACACAGATTGGTAACTGCATAATTGCTCAAGTTTTGCTTGTAACTCAATGTCAACTAAGGCTGAATGCAATGTTAAAAAAAAAAACGTAAACGGCAACTGTAATTTTTGCATCTCTTTTCCACTGCAAAAACATTAAGAAGTTGCATGTTTCCTTACATCTTGGCAAGATGATTTGCAGACCAGGGAGTCTCAGTAGTACCACAATGCTTCATATGCTTACAATAACATGTTGCGACACATTTTACCTTTAGCAAAAAAAAATGCAGCTCCGGCAATTTGAATATTGTACTTGGCCATGTTGTGATTTTGATAATATTTGGAGTAAATATTCAGCCCTACAATCAGCCCAAATACTTAAGAGGTCTAACACCTCACTGTTCCTGCACAGCTCTGTCTTTCATGTCTGTATTGACTAAGTGACTCCCAACAGCACACAATTGTCACGAATATCAATCCAGAGTGACACTCAAGTCCCATGAATTCTGACTGTTCAGAGTGGAGTCGTACTGCAAAAATCAGACTTTTTTCTGATTCAGGACCACATATGAAAATCATTCAGAAGAATTGAGAAGATCAGATTCCATTTATTTTGTGCTGTTCACACTCTTAAAACCTAATTCTTCCCTGCAGCCTGAAATCAGTCTAAAGGATTCCACGCAGCACTGTTTTATAATTCATTCTACCTGCATGTGCTGAGCAAAGTGCTTTCACAAAGTCTAAAAACGGCAGATTGCTAAAACCTCACACCTTCCTACCTTCCTGGAACATCTCTCTCCTCACCTGTGAGCTGAAATAGATCAAGTGTGGTGACTGTGAAACCTGATGTAACTTAAAAATTTCCCCCACAGGCATCAATAAAACATTATCTTATCCTCTCACGCGTTGATGTATTCTCTCTTCTCTTTGCTGCATCTGAATAGTAATGCAATCAGTGACTTAATTAGAGATTAACGTCCTTCTTACCTTTTTAAGCTTCCCCAACAATCCAACTATGTGTTCCTGTTGATCAGTGGAAGCCAAATCTTCTGCTGTTTTTCCATCCTGAGAGAGAGAGAGAGAAAAATAGACAAATCTTGAGTATTTTATTTGGCTGTTTAAATGTGCACTCTGCTATTTCTAACACACATTTTTGTTGACATTTCATTTGGGAAACAGTTTTTCAGTTGGTCAATAAATTCATATTATCACCTACCATGCTCCCATCTGATTATCTCATATTTCAACATGCAGATGGTTTAGTGTTTATTTTATTTATTCATACTGGGAACGTTAGATAAAACAACACTGACATTTAACAACATTTAACAGCAAATTTGCTTCTGTAGTCTCAACAAAACCAAAATATATAATTTCAGACTGTGTTTGTGTGTTCATGCAAGCAGAGACAGTTTGTGCATCACTCATTTTTGATGTTTTTGTGTAGTTGTTTATGATTATTGTTGAAGTTTTGGTTAGTGTTGTGTTATTTACAAGTTTATTGAATGTCCTGTTAAAGCCACATCGTAGTAGAGCTGCAAGATTATGACCAAAAGTAATAACCACCATTATTTTGATCAAGCTTGACATTTGAGGAGCAGTATATCTTTGTCGCACTTTTACATTTAAATGATTTTTTAAAAACCTTGTTAACATGTCCTTATGTTTGAGCAGATTCATAGGTGAGCTGGTGTGCTCGAGCTGCAGTGAGTTGGGAAGGGAGAATGGAGAGAGCAGCAGAGACTGAGTGCTGAGAATACATTAAAGTGGTCAGTACGTTCACATCAAAATTGCATGTAGGATGAGTGGTGATGAGTCAGACATCATCAGTCTTCCCTGACTGATATATTAGGCCCCTGAGTGTAATGAGTGCATTGATTAGCAATATTCTTCTCTCCTGGAATTGACTAAAAGATTTAAAAAATGACTAAAAAGAAAATAATATTCTCAAACTAAATTGTATATTATCTTTATAGAAGAAAATTTAAATATGTAGCTTTAAAGCACAGAGACAAGTTTTTAGGGGTTTATTCAATGACCAGGGAGGGATTTTAAATAAACAAGCACTGATTTCACGACTATGTTGTGCTATATTTCTACTAAGATGCAGATATTTATATCAAAATAAGCACCAAAAATATGATTACTCTTCACCTGAAGTCAGCACATCTATGAGAGGCAAAACATTAATACAACTGGTACGGAAACACCTCATTTGCTCATTACTAGTAGACACTGCTATTTCCCTACTTCCAATGTTTCCTAAATGGCGGTAGATGCTGCTAGAGAAGCTTGTAGTCTCCACTCAGTTATTGTAGTGCAGCTACCTGCTCAGATGGGCGTGTGATCAAAAATGACTTTAAAAACTGTAAAAATAAGGTTTTCCAACGTCAGATTTACTCAGGTTCACACCAAGTCATTGTATCTACATGGAATACTCTCTGAGCGGAGAATTTTAAACAATTTCTGCAGTGGATCATGTCCCTTTAATTACTTATTAAGTTTAAATTAATTGTAGAAAGTCAAATTCCTGTTTGTGAAGAATATTTGGTTAATTGTTCTATGTCTTGGCTTTCTAAACTAAACAAATATTTTTTAGTGCGTTCATGTTCCAAGCAGCACAACAACAAAAAAGGCTAAGTGTATAATCCAGTATTAGCAGAGCTGTACGTAACAAAACATAACTAAAATGACCTGTATTTCTGATGCCCAGTGATTATCCATTAAAGCTCTGCAGTCTCGGCTGATTCCAGTAAATGAACTGCAGCTGCAGCATCCATACAGCACAAAATCACACTTACATACTCTCTCTCTCTCTGTGTTTCCTTCGGTCCAGCTGCTCTAATTTGTTACTCTCCATTTTCTCTTAAACACACTGACACAGAAACACCACATTCCCAACAAGTTTCATGTCTCCTTCGCTAAGCGAGCCATCTGTCACTGTCCGGCTCTGGCTGCTGCTCCACAGGGAAAAACTGCTTCGACAGCCTCAAATATCCACTGAGTGCTTCCTCCCTCTAGAGACCCAGAGGGATCTTCAGCTGGGTTTGTTATGAAAAGGTACCAACTCCTGATTATTCTATCAAGAAAAATCAATAAACAGCACTTTTTGCAACTTTCTCCATTAAGTCTTCGACATTTCCTTCTCTGGAGCGCTTCTCTGATAAGGTCACATAATATTATCAGACTATGAGAACACTGACCTTTAAGTTGTTTGATTTAGCAGAATGTTGAAAATGCAAATGAAGTGCAACTTGAAACCGAAAATTGACCACTTTAATATTCGAGTAAAATCATAGGGACTCAGCTCGCACAGATGGCAGAGTGTCACGATGATTACTACTGATGCTTGGCAGCGACAGATGAACGGCTGGTGTTATGTTTGTCACAAAACTGGTAAGGAATATTATCCATATTAAATACAGTATATATTAAATATCTAAAGGACTGATGTGCTTTAAATGCTTACTAATTACTAAGATAAGTTTCACTATCTGGTGACAAAACAGAGCAAATCTCAGAAACCTCTTAACATCATGTGGACTCCTCGGCTTGTCCTCCCTCAGCTGCTCCACAACAGACCACTGACAGGCCACTGGACAATGAATTATACATATCAGTGTGCCTTCTTGAGTAAACATGCATAGCACATCAGCTGTCATGCAATATTAACAGCAGGGGAATGCAGAAAGAGAAACCTCAGTGTGGAGCAGCTGGCAGTGAATCCTCTGAAGATATAGTTTTATCTCCTACAGGTTAGTTACATGCTTTTCGATCGGCAGAATTGAACAAAAGATAGAATTCATGGGATTAAAGTAGATAAATGGCCATAATTAAGGATTTTATATAACAAAGCAGTACAGCACAAGAATTCGGTTTGAGGTTTTTGAGGCTTAACTCAAAAAGAAGAGGAACTTTAGAACCAAAAATAAAAAAAGAACGACAGTATCGTGTGCAGGATTCGCAAGAAGAAACACTTTTATGTACAGTACACTGTGTGACATCAAGGAAAGATGGGAAAGCCCAGAGTGTGTTTACCCAACTGTGCACCATCTGGAAGTCCTATCAGTACAGCCTAACAACACAGGTCCCTCTGTGCAACAGTAACTATGGATTCTTATGCAGAGTTTTGAATACTGGGAGAAAAAAGCATTGAAAGATTCCAACAATAGATTTATGAAAAGCTGATAAGACGACAACCCCGGAGAAAAACCAAACCAGGGCGCGACTCTGGCAGCTGGACCAGGTTATTGAAATGTAAAAGAAAACCTCAAGGGACGATGGGAATTAAGCAACAGAGGTTCAGCCACTTTTCTCTCAGTCTACAAACAGATATACAGAAGAAAAATGACCCTGGGAGTCCACTGGGGTTTCACAAATCTTTAGTTGGTTCATTATTAATATTTAAAACACAAAGTGACAAAATAAAGGACTTACACTGTCAAAGAAGTGCATGAACTCAGTCCCTGGCATAATTCTCAATTAAAACCCCAAACAAATCAAGTGCTATTTGCTGTATAGTGCTTTATAGCATGTTTTAAAACAACCTGGCTTGACCAAAGTGCTGTAAGACATGCAGTCACAAATACATCGTGGAACAGTTCACATCGGATGCTCTGAGGATCTAATGGTCCTTGAGGTGGAGTTGGGACAAAGAAGTTCTGAAATGGACTCAATGCCGACCCATGCAGGGCTTTGTAAACAAATAAATTCTGTAATTAACAGACGTAATTCTTCTATTTGCAGGGCAAAATTAAGTAATGATTTGTGGTCAAAATCTGAGTCAGCGGGGACAGGCTCCAGACTCCAGCCTCCCCACCACCCTACTGAGGATTAAGTGGTGTACAGATAATGGATGGATGGATCTGTAGAAGGAGGTGGAGAATTACCACCTGACAGAGCTGAAGCTCTGAACTCACCTCTATTCTCTAATACAGCTCAGCGCAGTGAAAAAATGTGCTATTTGTACATCATTTAAAAGCCATTGGACATGAACTCCCACTATTCTCTGAGGTCAAACACACTCACACTGAGATAAAATGACTGAATCTGGTGTCTGACTCCTCGTTCTGAGTCAACGCTCCGTTTGATCCTCTGCAGTTTGATAAAAGCTCTCAGCCTGCGGCTGTCGGAGATTCACCTGCTGTTCAGACATGAAATGTAAGTTTTCCTTCAGGAATCTCAACACTTAGCACTATAATCAACCTTTGATCATGACTGACAACTCATTCAATACTTCACTCTACACTTAATAAATAATGACCCGAGGCTTTGACTTTTATTGAACGTACTTGAAAAATCCACTGTACACATGAAATTGCACTCAAAATATTTAGTTTAAAGTTTATTTTACAGGTGAGTAATTTTATAATCCTTAACAAATAATTTACTAGAAATCGGTACTAATTACTGGAGAGCAAGTTGGGAATGCTCATACCAGTGATTCATTAATTCAAATGTGTTACTTTAAGGGTCTTTAAGCCGACACACAGCAGGTCGATTAAACATGTAAAATGCTCAATCTTGTCTGAATATGAGCAAAAATGTCAGCATATCTGGATAAAATAAATAAATTTGTCTCTTCAACCTATAATTACTGTCAAGATATGCAGATTTTTATTATAACTTCTTAGGAAATTACACCTCTAAAAACACCTCTAAGTCACAGCTTACTGTCTTCAGACTGACTAACTTCTTTAAAAAAACATCTTTTATGTGTCCTGTATTTCTGATGTTTTTTAACATTAAATCTGTCAGTACGTTATCGTGCTTTTGGGGTTCTTCACATTAATTTAGTGTATTAAAAAACTGCTTTTCTGAGCAAGTAAAAGATCAGAGAACTTACAAAGTCTACAAAACAAGGATCTATTCTCTCCCACAGAAAACACTGTTTCTTCACATGACAAAAAAACCCTTTTTTAAAAAAAAGGCTTTTCTTCTGTTATTTATCTATGCCAATGACCATGAAACACATTGCCTGGCAGCAGGTTTGCTCTCAAACACAGAATGAGCAGTACAACAATGTTTCCTCACGAGAGCTGCTTCTTCTAGAGTCTCTCTCCGTCTCTCTGGTTATACTCAGAGATCTGGAGTTACAGTGTATATAATCAACATGCCCTCCCTTTCGTTGAGCCAACTGACTAAATCAGAGCAGACCAGACTAAGGTAGCTTCAGACCGGAGCTAAATCACAGAGAAGAGGCGCTGCAGGAATGTCCAGTATGTTAAAAATGAACAATAAAGCATGTAAGTATATTCTAGTACGACCAAAAAATAAAAATATGAACCTATAAATGTGCATTTTATGGGCTCTTTAAATGTGTATATCCACCCTGTCTCTCTCTCTGGAGGTTAGATCAATTAAACTCCATATTCAGCACAAAAGTCCGTTTTCACTCTAGCAGAGATCCTAGAATACTGAAGGAAGGAAGCTGCTAAATAAAGGATTTGAATATTTTAATTTTAGACAGAGAGCTTGAAAGAAGAAGCAGACAGAGACTGTACAGTAACTGTAATACTGTAAAGAAAAGGGGTGCCTCATTAAAACTTTGTAGCTACTTAAAAGGAAGTTTAATGCCAGGATCAGGGTTCAAGAGGTTAAATGAATTTCAAACACATAAAGGAAGAAACATTAGAAATTTTAAGCGTTAAACCCACAGACACAGCTCAGTATCAAGAGGGCAGTGCAAATAATGAATTCTTACAGATTAGATTCAGTTTGAGTTAAAAGCTGCAATCGGCTTTTCTACTTTTACTGAGCATTTGTGGAAGAACTTGACTTGTTCTGCAGCTCAAGCAGAAAATTCCCAACCCAACATGCAAATAATATTCAAACAAGCAGACAGATGTGTGTTCAGTTTGACTTCTATACGAGGCGTTACAATGTCGACGATGTCCCTCTACATACGATACAATCTGTCAGTATCTACAGTATAATGAATCAAAATGTCAAGAAGATGCATGGAATTTTACTGTAATGGTGAAAAAAATGCTGCAGTGTAATTACCTGCAGTGTCAGAGATAAATTTCTGCCATGATGCATTATGTGCTGAGCCACTGCTACTCTAGAGTGAAGGGGGGAAACTGTGTGGTGACTCACGTTGGTGACGGCGTCGATGTTTGCTCCAGCCAGGCAGAGATGACGAACAACCTCGAGGCTCCCGTTGTTAGCAGCCAGGTGGAGGGGAGTTCTGCCATACTGGGTAAACAGAGACAAATAAAAGGAGTTTCAGTCAACACAAGAAGACATGATAATAAAAGAGCCCATACAGCACGGAACATAATCTTTATATCTGAAACTTGATGTTTTTTGTGTAAAATCTACAGTGGAGGTTACTCAGCAGGGTTTTGTACACACTTTTATATCGGTTCAGGGTTATTTCATCTCAAAATCATCAGGGACCTTCTGCTCCACTATCTCTTTGTATGTATTTTGCACACTGAAATTTGAGGCTGCATTTTATTGATGATATCTTAAAACTTGAAGTTTTTAGTGTGGTGGGTTGCGGCTCGGACGCTGTTATTGTTTCCTCTGGTGAAAGGGATGTTGACAACAGTAGCATGCAGAGAGCGGAAGGAGAAGAGAAAAACCAAGTGAAACACACAGCAAATGGAAGGCTTATTCTGGCAATCTACAACCGGTGAGATGACACAACTGCTCAGTCAAAAGCGAACAGCTGGAGATTTGCAGTGAAACAGCAAATCCAAAAATGTTATATTACTGAACCCTTGCTTAACCTGCTCACTGTGACACGGATAACAGCAAAAAGAGAGAAGAAAAAGAGGCTGAACAGACAACTACACTGATCAGCCACAATATTAAAATGCAGCTGGATTCCCCAACAGTAGCATTGGCCTCCCTCAGCAGGATAACACACCCAGCAACACTCCAAAAACTGCTCAGGAACAATGCAGCAACACAACAAAGAGCTCAAGGTGTTTAACCAGCCCCTAAACTCCCCAGATCCCTATCTGATCAAGCATCCACAAGAATCTGTGTAATATCAGCATTTTCTACTTATGGATGAATCTGTGCAATACTGATATAAATCTGTACAACATCTGTATTTCCTATATCAGCATTTCCACTCATGTAAAAATCAATGTATCACTTCAATATACAGATATGTGCAATATTACTATTTTCCACATCCAGAAGAATCTGTGAAATATCTGAATTTCCACACAGGGAAAAAAATGGGACAATATCACTTGTACATGTGTATATTTCTTGTTTTTGTTTGATTTCTACTGATATCTGTACATTTTTGCCTTTGCTACTCTAACACTGCAAACACCCCCGCTGTGGGATTAATAAAGGCTTATGTTATCTTATCTTAAGTCTGATTCACTGACCCAAAGAATCTGCTGCCTACATCCAAATACCAGACACCACAGGACACCCCCAGAGCTCCTGTGTTCGTCTCTCGACGAGTCAGTGCTGTTGAGGTAGCGTGAGTGGAGCGCCATACTAGGCAGGTGGTTTTAACGTTCAATGGTTAATGGTCAAAAACAGCTTATATTGTTATTGTCATTGTATGTCAAATTAAATGTTCCTCAAATGGTAGCTCATACTAACATTTTTCATCATGTTTTGTCTAAACTGTATCAAAATATGATTGCTTATGTTGCTTCATGCTTGAACCAAACTCCGCACCCACATGGTTCTGCTTCACTTGGCTGACTAGCTACTGTTAGCATAGCAAACTGCCGCCATCATAGATAAAGGCACTTAGACAAGGAGTCTGCTGTTGCTGTTGCTCTTCCTGCTGTGGTTGCTGCGTCTGTTTGCTTTTCACTGTGCTACTGTAACATAGTTCCTGTCACCATCACGGAGGATCATCCAATTTTGCAAACGCACCTGGAGGAGCTTCGAGTGAGCAAACTCTACGCAGAAATGTTTAACACATGACCTGACATAAATATTACACTTTTGAGAGTGTTGGATTGATCTGACAGGCGATCCAGCTGTGCAGCACATCGTAAGTTATTGGCGTCACACTATGGAACGAATGATTTCTTATTTGGCAGCTTCATCTTCTCAGTCCTCAAGTTTCTTTCAAGCATCTCTGTGTCACATCTTCACTGAGAAGAGCTAAAATCATGTCCGTTAAAGGCTTTTGGTTGCTCTTAACAGCCTTAATTTTGCTGTATTTTATATTTATTTAATTTGATCTTGCAAGTTGCTATCCAGTTTGGTCTCTGTATTTTAGTATTTATCATATTTTGTTAATTAGTTTTAGTTTTTGTCGTTTCCGTCATGTTGTTTTGCAGAGACTTTTGTGGATGCATGTCTTAAAACCTGCCATGTAAAGAAACTTGATTTGATTTGTATGAAAATCACCCTTGGATTCAGGTGAAAAAAACAAAAACAAAACTGGTGGTCAGAACAGGAACACGGTGCTCTCTGCAAACCACAATAATTACGATGATGACTGAATAATTTTATCATCACTATTTTTCACCGCAGTATGTAGTAAACATGAAATAATGGCATACTTCCATAACAGCTTATTTCTTATTCAGAAACACACAAAAATGTCTCCTCTGCCACAGGATGAAGTTAAAGCACTGAAAAATATCAGTACCCACTACAAAATACAACCTCTCAAAAAGCAGCATTTCAATCAATTCCCCTTTGTCACAACTTGAAAAAACAGGAAGCATCCATCCTTTTCTATTATGCTGTAAACAGAGCAGCAGACATTTTCAATTCCAGCCCTCTTATTTGTCTCCCCAGTGTCTAAAGCTGACAGTGAACACAAATCCAGGCACCGAGTCAGCAGTGTGTGATACGATGCTTCAGATAAGCTTAAAAGAAGCACACGCAAACTGAAAATAATGCATAAATCACACTGTCTCTGGCTGTACTGTCTGTGCTTGATGCACATCACTTCCCTGAACTATGCTGGGAAAAATGTTTCTGAATGCAGAAAAAGCCGAGAGAAGCCTGGCAGTGTCTGAGAAAAGCAACGCTATCGCAGAATATATTAAAATGGATGGTGTCAAAATAGAAAGCGAAATCACTAAAGGCAGAAACATGTGTGGGAAGACGTGCGAGATGGGATCTTCAGTCAAATATAAACCAGGTACTTCAGAGCTCCCTTAAAGGACCACTTTACTGGAATAAGAATAAAACTGCCTGTTCCATTTTGCTTTGCTATGAGTGCCAGAACAACAGCTAGACATGCAGAATATTGTACATTATTATAAACAACACACTGAGTAGCAGATTTCTAAGCCCAGCCTTGATAAGATTGGATCACACTGCAAAAATCCTCCAACTGCACGTATTTACACTCGCAGAAAATCCCCCTTTAATCCCTGTAATACATCCACTTTCTGTGTTCATTTATCCCTCTGTTTGACCTGTAATTACACTTTGTTTGGCTTGGATCAAACAGCTGCACTAAGTAGTCAAAAACATGTGGACACACCTGGTTACTGAAGCTATATAAGACCGTTTAAACATTTCTACACCATAAGCATTAATCTACAGCCATAACAGGGTGCTCTTTTTTGGAAGGAGTCTGATATCTGCTCCCGTTCTGAGCATTAGTGAGGTTCATGGTGAGTGACGAGGTCTGGCTCACAATCAGCGTTCCACTTCAACCCAAAGGTGTCGGACGAGGCCTCAGTTTTTCCACCAAACTGGGAAAACCATTTAAATCATGGGCCTTGTTTTGTGCAGAAGATCAAGTTAAAACATGAACTTGGGGGGCCAAGCCCAAACAATAAGAGGTAGTGTGGTTGTTTAGTGTCGTCTGATCTGGATGCTTTAAGAAAACACAAATATGTTTGACTCATCAGTGTGGTGCAACAGAGCTGAAAAACAATAGCTGTGTGTGGATATTATGGAAGATGAGTGTCAAAACTTTGTTCAGTGCAAACACTGCAAGACAAGATACACCCATGTGTCTGTACAGTTCTCTAAAAATAGCAATCGGTTATAAGGAACGAAAAACACCCCTCGCAGAAACATTGCTGCATAGTGAGTATGCTTGAGGCTGAGTTGTATACCTATGGTATAACACAGGACACACAAATATGGAGTAAGCAAGTCAGAAAGTCAGAAAACATTTTACGTTTGATTCTTAATATCTGTGTAGATTCTCAGTTATCTGGGTCATGGTGATTCACAATGGTTCAGGAGGAGGCAACTGGACTTTCAGACGTTTTTCGTCTCATCCAAGACGCTTCCTTAGTTTTAAGTGACTGATTGGGAAACTGAGGCGTATATTCCCTGGAGCTCATCAACAACCAGGACTTGCATGAACCAAGGTGTGTATAGTAGTGAAGGATGTCAAGACATGATTGTATGTAGCTGATAAGTGGTGTCATGGACCAGCTCCTCTGTTTAGAGATGCTGTTCCATTCTGACACAGACTGCTTCCTTCACTCCTCTCAAAACATCTGTCTTTTTGTCCAGAATGTAGACAACGATGTCTTCATAGGAGTGTCTTTTATCTTCTAGATGCAGCATTTGGTGCATTATTTCATGGATGCTTGACAGTAAAGTTAAAGGTTCAATTCACTAAGCTTAGAAAGCAGCATATTATCTTCAAATCAGTTGCAAAAACTCTTATGTAGAGGACATGAAAACTGAAGAATCAGTACCAAGTGAATGCTAAAATTCCAAAAACATAATGGTACTTGTTTCTGTGACAATACTGACACATATGCTCCTGCTGTTCTAAAAGGGGAATGGGGCAGCGGTTGTACTCACCTTGTTGGGGAGGTCGAGGCTGGCTTTGGCGCTGCAGATCGCCATGACGATGGGCAGATTTCCGTCCTTGCAGGCGATGTGGAGGGGCGTGTTGCCATGGCGATCCTGCTGGTCTAGGTGGCAGTGATGTCTGAGGAGGCAGCGGACAACGTCAACCTGACACCTACGTACGGCCAGGTGGAGAGCGGTGTGGCCGTCCTGGAAGCACAGAACACGATTCAAAACATCAGTTCATGCCCTTAGGTTTCTTCTTACACAAAGCATCTCTTTTTTTTTTTGTCCTATTTTAGGTACAGCATATGTGCATTCCATCAAAAAATTAATGTGTAATAATAATGTTTCTTGTTAACTCTGGACGAAGCAAGCTCACAGAAAGAATAATAAGTGACTTTACATTGCAGAGACTACAGGAATGGCCACATAATCTGCCCTTTTACCCTTTTTGTTTAAATTGTGGTGTAGAATCCAACAGCTTTGACTATGATGTCAACTTTAAGTGCACCAAAACAATGACTAAAAGTAACTACTGGTGGCAACTCCAGTTCAGTGAGCAGGTAGGAAATAGAACAATGGAAGGTTTAGTTTGTACACCTATATGGAGAATATCTTTAAGACTTCGAGACACCAGAAAAATGGTGCTTGTAGCTGTCTCTGAGTTTAACAAATTAGCATCGAGACCTGCACAAGAGAATTTTAAGGCTCCTCAGAGGGTGTAGGTAATTTTTCCGTCCCTGAACGAGGTTCTACTGGGGAAATCATTGTGGTCAGAACATGCACAAAGGTTCAAACAGCCCTAAAATAGTCCTCCAGTAGAAAACAGTCTCATGTCAGTGAGATTGTCATCGTGATTGTGTGTTATATTGTCTCTTTGGATCCTGTAAGACTTATTTGTTCTCATTATTTTATTTTTTTTTTGCTGTGCATTGTTGAACACATAAGCGTTCTTGATAAAGTTTTACATAGATCTTAGAGGTGTATTGAGAAAACAAATAAAAAGGAGCTGAAAAGTTCTAATCGGACAACAGGTATGTTCTGCCAAAATAAACCCATGTGATCACCTTGTCAGTTGTTTCTAGATCTGCCCTGTGCTCCACCAGACACTCCACAATGTCCACAAAGCCTCTAGCAGACGCTGTGAGCAGTGGACTCTCGCCCTCGCGGTTCTTTGCATCCACGTGGCAGCCTGCCTGGCAGAGCGCTCGGGCTACTGGAGAGTAGCCGTGCCAGGCGGCGCAATGCAGCGGAGTCTCCTGTTCCTGGAGACGGAAAGGTGGAATGTCGAATGAGAACAAAACTTATGTCTCTATAATAACCATCATGCTGCCACTGTATTTGCATGCACTCACCCTGTCTGCCAGGTCTGGGTTGGCACGGATGCTGCACAGGTAGCTCACCACATCTACGTTTCCATAGCGAGCTGCCACATGGAGAGCTGTTTCCCCAGACTGGAGGAGATGATAAATCAGCAGTTAAAAAACACAGTGAGACACCGTGACTTGAAGTAACAGGATGACATGGGTGTTTTAGAATAGTTACTTTCATGTAAGAACATATTTTAAAGCACTGACACCCTAAGGTATTCACTCTGAGTCTGCAACTTTCCAAAACTTCCACTCAAACAAGACATTTAGATTTTACTTTCTTGCTTTGGGATTCGCTAGAAATCGATCCGTCAGCTTCAACGTTTTGGCTGCCAGTCAGAGGAGCAGCTCGTTAGCAGAGAAGCTGCCTGTGTGAAACAAAACAACACCCAAGACGACGTGTTTGCTTGTAGGTGGGAAAGTGAACCGCTTCAAACATCTAATTCATGTTGGAAAAAAGGCTTTAAAGATCGATTTAATCTGGGGAATTACAGGAAAAAACAGCAGATTCACCTTGTTAAAAAGGTTCCAAAGATCTTCTGGCTTTGCCTTTCTCATAAGATTATTATGCTGTTACACACAGACACCTCAGCTTGTGATTTGAGGGCTGTGGTGTAATAAAGTAAGATGAAACTTTAATGATCCTTGGACGGGAACTAGATAATAATCAGAAAAGTGCCTGGAGTGCAGATTAGTTTAGGTCTGGTGGAGGAGGCCTCTGCTCTGCCTCAGTGTTCACAGACAGAAGAGGACACCACCGGCGGGTAGGATGATGAAGAGATTGGAAAAATGCTTTTGGGATTTTGTGTGCCCAAGCAAGCTCTATGATCGAGGCCACACCAACATCAAAAGCAAACACACACATACACACACACAACCCATCTTTCTCTGCAAGACCTGTTTCTATAGCAACAGCAAATAAGCTGATAAAATGCCAGAGTGACTGGTTTTCTCCCCAGGTGTGTAAATCGTAGAGTGGGAACGTGTAAATCTGTGTTGCGGGGCATTTACAAAATAATGCTTCTCATGAGGTTTGGTGGGTGGGAGGTAGTGAGCAATTTCTGATAGATAACTGAGTAGTAGTGAGTATGTGTGTTTCTGTGAGCGACTGTGAGACATGCAGAGAAAGGAAAAGACTTGATTCACCTTATCTTGGACATCCAGAGGGCACTTCTTTTCATGGAGGAATTTCAGGGTCTCGACGTGGCCGTGTCTCGCTGCGTAGTAGATAGCGTTGGCTCCACTCTGAAGGTTCCAGAAAGAACAACATTCCAGGATTTATCCCTGACCTTTATCATAAAAATCCAGCTCTCTGGGACTGTGTCTGCTGCCAAATGATATTCCTCTTAAAATACTGCACAGGACATTGCTGACAAAGAACCTCAGACTATTTTGAGCCGTGGTAACTGTTTAACGAGACGTCTGGTGTAACTGTGTCTATAAGTAGCTCGTCTGTTGATTTATATAAATAACTCCATGTACCAGAGGCAATAGTTTTTTTTTAGTCAAATTGCTAAACTGTTGGTTAGGACACAGTAGATTCCACTTTTTTGTTTTGCCACCTCTTGTAGAGAGAGAAGTGACCTTAAACTCAGAATATCTGCTAATAGCAAGTATTGATCCTGTGCCAAAGTTCGCTTCCTCCCAAATATAAAATCGGTACAATTTGCAGTGTTTATAACTCACTGAAATCGTTTCAATGAAGTGTAACAAGAGGCTGGAGATGTTGTGGCACTAAAACGTGACTTACTGACCCATAATGACAAAATTAATGTAATGAACTTGGCTCTACCATGTAATTTGTCTCATATCCATATCAGATTAGTGCATCCAGCTATGTAAGTACTACATAAAACATGACACAGAATAAGGACTAATGCTTTAGCTACATTGAACACATAAATTATGTGGGCTGTTCTCGGAGCAGATGTGCCATAGAATGTGTTTTTTCAGTGGCTACACCTGTAGCATATGGAGACTTTGGGATTTTAGTGTTTTATGTTTTTCCATCTAGCAAAGCACTGTAATATTTTCACAGAGATCGTGTAATAAGGTTACATTAACATTTACACACTACAGTAGATTCTGTGAGTGATAAAGTGACTAAGCAAACGTCAGCTGATACTGGCAGAAAAAATGCTGACAGGGTGAGCAGGTTCATCAAAAAAAATAAAAACATTGATACTATCATTTCTGTGAAAAAAGGGCCACAACACACCTGCCGTAAAAATATTCATAAAACACCAGTCTTTTTTATGTTTGATGAATGGATCTCCATGATGCAGATGCACCCTGTACACATTGCTCTCATGTCTGGTGTAGCCAATCTCACTGATTACAGGGGAAATGTAATGTTGCAGCAGCTTTTCACAAATGGTGTCTATATGTTTAATGCAGCTATAGTGTATGCTGAATTCATCCAGGTTAGTAGTCTCTTTATAAAAGAGTTCCAAGAGATGACCAATGTCTTCTGTAACACTGGGTGATGTCATAAATATTGACACCAGTAAAAAGTTCCTCCATACCGCTGTTGTACATTGCATCAGATAACAGCAACAAACAGTATATTGATAATTAACAGAATAACTGACTGATTATTTGACTACGAAAAGGACTGCAGGTTTCAGCTCTACTTCCAAAATGCATAAGTGTGTATAAAATAACTTATATTGCTATCTTAGAATAACAATCTGTGTAGAATGAATTAAAACAAATCCACCCATCCATCATCTATACACCGCTAAATCCTCACAAGGGTCATGGGAGGCTGGAGCCTATCCCAGCTGACTTAGGGTGAAGGCAGGGGACACCCTGGACAGGTTGCCAGTCTATCGCAGGGCTACACTTAGAGACAGACAAATTAATTAAATGATAAAACTACAGGCTGAAATAACCATTAGATTAAACTGAAGGTACAATAACAATAATATTCATTAACGAATAGATGCAATTTTAAAATCTTGTTCTTAAGATAAAATGACGAAAAGTGCCAGTAATATGCAGAATTATTTCGCTTTTTGTAGGCTTTTACAAAAAGGTTTGCATTTTACAGATTCTGAAGTTGTCCCAACACCGACAGATGGATGCATTAATGTCATAATCAACTTTTACCGATTAAAATGCCTTTTCTGGACTATTTAAAATGTATATCAATGCAGGATTTGCTACTTTCTGCAGAGAACTGTTCAGTACAGCTGAGAGCAATGAGCTCGTGAGTACATTTATTTATAGTGTAGATAGCCCCCGTCATAATCCAAATGACAGTCTGTCACTTCAGCCTTTATTACTGCAGCTCCGACGCCTCTAATGCCCGTCTATTAAACTCCACAGCTGCTGTTAGAACCGCCATGATTACACCAAACAGACGAGCTTTTACCTTGTCATGGGCCTGGATCTCTGCACCTTTTCTCATCAGCACCTCGATGATCTGAATGTTGCCGCAGCCGGCTGCAATCAGGAGGGGTGGAGTCCCGTGCTGCAACATACACACATATTATTCTGTGAGTTTTTAGTGATAATGGTGCGTTTATGTGTCTTTAATGTGAGCTGAAGCTGGAGCTGTGGACCTCAATCTGACAGTGTGTAATTACACTGAAGATACGGAGAAGAAGGCTGACTTTCTTCTTGGAAAGGAGTTCACAAAATTAATTCTCAGGTAGGAGGTAAAAGAAAGGAAGAGGAAGGCAGAAAATGACAAGATAACCTTTACTGAAACAGTTCAATCTGACAATTACCACCAGTCACTCACATTTTCTTCTGTTGCTCTCCTACATTCTCTGTCACTAACTGTGATGTTATTCTCCTCCTCTTCTCCATATTATATTTTCATTCCTCCTCTCCTCTTTCCCTTCCCATTTCTCGCTCTTTCTCTACACCTCACTGAGTTTAATAACCTCAGATCCCCCCGTCGCCCATCACCTGTCAGGAAACAGGTTCTTCTCCCCTATCGAAGCAGCATGAAGACGAGAGTCTGGAAATGTAGCTGACCATCGGGTTGTTTGGTGCAAAAACAAATCAGGAGTTTGCTTGTTTCTGCACAAAAATATAGGCACCTCTTGTGTGCACTTAAAGTTTCCTACACTTGTGCAGTTATCTTTTCTGTTATTATGTTTCTGTTGTGGTGCTGTTAAACTGCGTTGCTTCTTATATAGAGGTGTTTCTGTTATTTAGCCTTCCCTCACTGATATAAATGAGGTGGACAAAGACAGCTCAACAGAAGCACAAACTACATCCTCTAGGATGACCACATAGTTGGATAAACACCTGTTTAAAACAGTTTCAGCAACAACTGAACATTTTTAACCTTTAACCACATCCTCAAATGTTCCTTTCTGCCTTCCATGTATCCACACATTTTACTGATTTTCTTCAATTACTAAAAGGAGGTAGATGTGGGTGACGAACTGGTCCTTTATTTTGCCTGTTTTTATTTACCTTTGGTAAAATGTAACGTAAAGCCTGGTGATATATTTAACAAGATATAGAAACTACTTTTGAGGCTCATCAACTGCAGCTACTGTGAAAAAATGCAACTTCCCTGTATGAAATGTTTAATTACTTATGAATGTAAGTTGAATGTCAATATTTAAAATGCCTTTTTTCTATGTTGGGATGACCTAGTGTCTGAAGTTGAAGTACACTGATAGAGACCCTGTGATTTGTTCTGCCTACTGGAATAGATTTTTGTATCCTCAGTAGAGTTTATTGTTCTAACTAGGTATGTTGTGCATATTTAGCTTTTATTATTTTGTTCTGTTTTTTTTTTTATTGGTTTTACTCTATTCCAAAGGAAAGCTTCATTTGTTGCTGTTTTCAATAATCAAGCAGAGGCTGCTGTAGCTTAAGTTGTTGTTGTTGCCTTACAATAATATAAAGGTAGGTAATAATACTGTCTCATCTCAAAATTATACTATAAAACATCATCAGAATAGTTAACTAAATTAATAATGCTACACGATAAACAGAAGGCTTTAAATAGAGCCAATCATCTGAATCAGCCGATGCAGCTTTCAGCAAAAATCCCAATCAGAGTCCATTAGCATCTGTTACACTGGTTGTCGCTTTTATAAAATTGGAAAACACATTGTTATATTCTATATGTAAGAGGACATTCATCAACATGATGCACTGTCCAGCTCATTACACTAACCTAACCCCAACCCTGATTCTAACCTTAAACATAAAACCAAGTCTTAACGATCTGAAACTGACAGCTGACTAAAATGTCTTCAGCCCTGAAGTCTACAACTCAAACTGCTCTTAACAAACATACACATACAAGTACACACAAAATCCTCCTTGACTCCATCTCCCCCTCAACATTTACCTACACGCACAAGACAGTAACAAATCTTTGGCTCTGGCTGGACAGAACTGATGTTTTCCTTCTGTGCAGTATTTGTTATATAATAAGAAAACGCTGACTTGCAAAAATCACTAGATACACAGAATTAAATTAGTCATCTTGTGATCAGAAACTTCCTTCCAGTCTGTAAAAGAGGCTATTTCTCTTGCCGCGGGGCAGAACATGTGAACACCCTCATAAATGATTTTTATCAGCTGCCTTAATGATGAATGTGATAAGTCTTGGAGTGTGATACGAGTAGACTGTTCTCTGCTTCATTCCTTAAAGCAAAGAGTGGAGGATTTATTAAAAAGATGAAACTTTAACACTTTAACAACAATACAACATGACTTAATAAAGTGACAAGTTTTCTGTCAGTCACCTTGTTGGGCTGGTTGACGTCGTAGCTGTTCAACGAGCCGAGCAGATGCTGCAGACCAGGCACGTTGTCATCGTTTATGGCGTGGATGATGGCCTTCATCACAAAGGAGTCTTCCTCATCCTGTATGGATGGAAAAGACGGTTAAAGACTCTTCTACAGTTTGCAAGATGATCTAATCCTGTTAACATTACACTCATGATTTCTTGCATCCCAAAGTCTCTCTCTTATTTTTCTCAGGCATGAATACACACAAACAAACAGAAAAGCAGCAGAGTTGTCTTTTGCATCTGCAGCTCATATTAAACACACACGAGGACTGTTTGTGTCTGTGACCCAGTAACCTTCGGTACAGAATCAGCTGTAGAGCCCAGGAATCAGCTGTGACGCTCTGCTGCACAAAGAGACAGAGAGTGGAGAGGCAGGGAGGTGAGGAGGATGGAGGAGAGGAGGGGATGGAGGCGTTTGTTCAGCCAAGCCTGACTCTCCAGCTGCATTCCTCAGCATAACCTCCCTGCTGGGGAGCCATGACTAAAGCACCTCAGAGCGCTGCAAACGCAACACAGATCTGTACAAGCCTTGTGGGAATCCACTGTCAACAGTTGTTTGGGATTTTTACCTCCTAAAAGCAGTAATTCACGACACAGGATGGAGATTTATTAGCAATCTATTGTAGCTCATCTTTGATGTGCGCTATTTCCAGATTTTGCCTCTGGTAGCAGCCTGCTGGTAAAAGTCCACTTAAAAACCTCTCCACATAAGAATAAAACATCTATAAAAGTAAGACACGTTGATGGCTGTTTATCTTATACGTATAGTATAGCTCACACGCATCCTTTTCTCCTAAGTTTCTCTTACCTATTTGTGCTGTCAATGGAAAAAAAAAGAAGGGAGAAAGTAATTTAAAAAGCAATACGCCTGAATTATCGAAGTCGGCTGGTTGATTAAGTGGTTGATAAACTCTCACCCAACCAAATTCTCACTGATCGTACAATCGCCGCTTTGATCAGGAGAAGTGCTACACCAGTAGTCTTCCAGGATTAATACTTTATTTTTGGCGGTAGAAGGAACAGAGTACCTGTGAACACCTCCGTGTTTTCATAGCTTTGAACTGTCCCAACCTAATGAAAGCTGCTAGGTCTGACGTACTTTACATTTACTACACATTTACTCTGAGTTGGCTCAAAACTCAGCAGCTAACTTGTCTGTGTTATACAATACTACTTCTGCTTAAATCAGCAGTTGATACCGAGTTTTATTTGCAGAAATCATTTGAATATGTGCAGCAGGTCTGTTCTGAGCCTGTTCTGATCGTTTTAGTATAAAATACCTAGGTTAAAATGATTTAATAATTTGCAAATACCTGCTTTTAATGTTTATTTATAATTCATTTAGGCTAGCAGGTAGAATGCACTGTGGTCGATTTAGTTAATCTACAGAAACCGTGGAGATTTTCTTTTTTCTGTGACCAAGCGATTCTTTGGAGAGTAGGTACCATTTCAGTCAAAAAAGATTTTCTTTGCTTGATTACAGCCCAAGAAAGCAAAGATGCCAAAACAGCATTGTGAACTGAAAGTCATAATTTCCAGTTATTTGTAGCTTTCATTTTCTGTCAGTCAGTTTGAGTAATTTCAAGGCTTTGATGCACTTTCCTGGTATAATCAGCTAAAAAGATGTGTAACTGCAATTCAAACATGTGATTCTTGTGAAAAATAAAAAAAAACAACTGTGCTGAAAAAACTCAGCTACTCTAAAGGTCCATTTGGAAACATCTAATCACTCTGCTTAAAAATGCCATCTGGTGAAAATCTCTTGTCACATTCATATGACATTGTTTTACATGCTGGAAGACATCATGGGTTAAATATGCAGTCAACACCATGGCTGAGTGCTCCTGCAGTGTGCCAATGACGTTCTAAAAAACACAGATTCAGACTTCTGTATCATAGCTGTTTACAATTGAGTTCCAGTTTAAACACAGATGGCTGAATTACTCCAAATGTATAACTTGCCAGTGTGTAGCATGGAGTAGCTTTAGTTTGACCACAGGCACAGGTGAGCTGGTGTGCTTGAGCTATAGCAGATGGAGAAGGAGTGGGTGGAAAATGATGCAGGGATTTTGTAGATCTGTGCATTCTAGAAGGTACAGCAGTATAGAACCACTTTTGCGTCAATTTAAGGCAGGAAGGGATTATTTTCATGGAGAAAAAAACACCTTCTAAACGTGTCATTTCGATACACAGATGTGACTTTTTTAGGGGCTTAATCAATTACTGAAGAGGGACTGTAAACTTTGGGACAAGCTGAGGCTACAGACTGTGTTTGCAGAAGGCATTTAGGAGTTTAAATCAATTAACAATTAAAAACTTTCCATACATACAACATTAATTTTTATGCTATCCAGGGGACGCGTGGTTCTGGATTAAAGAACACTGTGGATACTGTTGGGACAAACAGCTCCTCAGACTTTGCACCACTATTGTGGCACAAATGACACATTTCAGGAAAAGAACAACAGTTTGATATCTTCCAGCCACACTACTAACACTTTGCGCTCCTGATGTGTACACTTTCCTCTACCTTCTGACACAGAGCCTCTAAAAACGAACACAAACAATGTCTTAGTTGAATATTGACAGAGGGGGGGAGCCACAGTAAAACCCACCTCTGTGTACAGTCTTTAGGTAAACCACTTAACTCTGGAACTGCTCTGCCAGTTAAGACAACGAGCGATTAGGAAGCCTGCACTGGAAAACGTTGGCTCCTGATGCAGTTCAGGTTGTGGACCACAGGAGGTGCTACATCCTCAACATGTGTCGCTCCACCTGCCTTCTCACCTGCGACATGAGGAAGCTGCTGTGAAGAAACAGGCCTGGCCTTGGCCTGCTGGTAACGCTTTGTAAATCATTAAGCTTCTCACAGAGGCTCAAGTGTTTGCATCTCTGGCTGGTCGCTATCACCTTATAGACACACTAATAACAGAAAAGCTTTTGTGTATCGCTGTCTCTGTACAAACTGACTCACTCATTTGCAAGGCACGATAAAGGTTTCCTTCCATGGAGGCACATTCCTACAAGCTAAACCTGGTTTTAAGGCTACGCACAATGAAATTCCAACAGTTCTACAAACACATGACCTGTGGCACTTGGGGGAAATGAGGAACAGATCAATTACATGTTTGAGCTCCAGATTCTCGGAGAGATTGTCAACCTGGAAATACCAGAGCCGTAACTGAGAACTTGAGGTCCTAATGAACAAATGCGCTGCAATAAAAGCAAAATGAAACTCATTAACAAACCAGTCTCCTGTCAATTACTTTTATTTTTCTGTATTAAGGAGCACACGGGCTGGAGCTCTTGTTGGGACGCAAATGTTTCACTCAAGAGCAATTCAAGGCCTTGATGGCATTACAAGCAGTGAACTCAATCAACTTAATGAATTTGGCTTAAGATCCTCGTCCTGTGTTTTAATGGTTTTTACATTCTCTAAAATGTCCGGCTTGTTCATTCGGGCAAATCAGAGGAGCAGATCTGCAGGTCTTACCAGCGTGTCGTCGCTGCGCGCCACACTTATGTTGCTTCTGGACAGGAAGGAGCGGGACAGGCGGTTGCATAAGGAGATAAGTCGGACGGATTGCTGGAACAAAAGGGAAGAATGGAGGTTTCATGAATGAGTAGAACTGGAACAAGTTAATGTCAAGTCATGTTAAGAGGGCCGTCAACAGTCAGGCAAGTGTGGATGTAACACAATTTTCTGCTCCATTTAAATTCAGTTACTTTACTCGCTGTAATTCACTGTTGATAACCCGTTGACCCTCATACTGTCAGGTGACATGCCCGTAGACTTCATCCTGCTGTGTGTCAGTAAGCTGGATGTTGATGTGTGATTTGGTACATAAGCATCTACATATTCTAGAACTCTCTTCACATATTTTAGCTCAGTTTCAACTCAAAATGTTGTATTCATCCCTCAAGGATCGACTTGAGTAAAGTGAGTTTGCAAACACAAACCCACTCAAAGTACTCATATAATCTAAAAACGCAGAATACGACGATGCCAGTAACCTTAAGTGTTTACAGAAGTGGCCAAATTGAAGCACATTAGAACAATTCCTAACAACATCCTCCCAAAAAGTGCGAGTCAAAAGGTATACAAGGACTTTTGTGGATTTATTCACTATTAATATGTGCAAGGGACGATTTCATAGCTGAGGTTAACAACACCTTGCAATTGGTTGCTGTTCTTCTGACAAAGGGATGTAAACCAGCAAAAAATATACAACAAATATAATAATTTGTACAGGCAGGCAGTTTTTATTAGATTTTGTCTGATGGTGTCCACAGAATCATACACTTCCCATGTATTTATTGTCTACGTGTGATGCATCCTGGTTGCGCTGCATTACATTTTGAAGGACAAGGTTTCATGTTGGCCGCTCCTCATTTGGATAAAGTTGAGGTTTTGGCTATTTTTATGCAAATCAGGGGCATCCAGTGCAACTTGCTGCCTCTGGAAACTCTCACAAAACTTCCAAACTAACTGCTGTCTATCTAAAATGAAGACAGATTCAGCAGCTTCATAGTTTATTTCAAATGTTCCCAGAAACACATTTCAGTGAAGTATTTTGTGATATACAAGAAAGTTTCCAAATGAGCTGCCAATGTTGATCCAGTCTGAAATGCTTTCCAATCTGGTATGGCCTGTATTGTTTTCCCATCAAGCTTCCAAATGCTGGAAGCCACGCAACGTCTCTCTTCCAAAAACACCCCTGTGGACACATATTAGTCTTCTATCAGACTTTTGGATTTAAAGTCAGCCCAACCTGGCTCTGATAACAAAAACTATATTGAGTTATTTCACAAACCTTCAATATAATTCCTACAAACTACATTTATGTTCCTGGTTTGTCATCTTTTGGGGCATTTTTCTTCTGTGACTCAAAGTCAAATCAAGCTTGCTGCAAAGCCAGAAGCTGCCAGTGTGCCCGAGCAGAGAACAGAAACATGGCGTGACAGCGCTGCCGAACCAACACACATAAACAAGCCCTGCGTTTCTTGCAGGCTGGGAGCACCGCTAGGTCAGCAGTGATGAACCAAAACAGACAAGTAGACAACCACCACAGCAGCGGTGGCAAAAAATCTGATGGTTACGGTGAGCCAGCAGCAATCGGTGGTGACATTGAAATCTGCCTGCAGAGTCTCTCTAGCAAGAAGCTTTCAAAGTGCAGCGTTGCGAGAATATGGTGAGTCAGTGGGTAAGATTATGGCTTTTCTTTTGCATTGTGCTGTAATTTGTCTTTTTCTGGAGCTTGAGTGTTGGTGAGTGAACATCATAGACAGTATCAGAAAAAAGCACTTACTTTCCACTTTCTTCGAGCTGCAAACTTTTTGAACTTTTCCATGTTGACGGCCGATTCCTTCCTGCTCAGTGCTTGCTGAGTGTCTTTTGGCTGGCAAAGCAGAAAAAAACAAGAAAGCAGGATAAAGTTGGTACAGAATCAGCTGAGACTAAGCAACCCACAGCTTTCAAATATCAATTGCTGCCACAAAATAAAAAAGCATTTGAAATTTTACAGGGTAACAAATGGTTTAAATTAAACAGAGAAAAAAAAATCTGTCGTCTGTAGAAAAGTCCAACCTTGATCCAGGGGTGCTGCAGGCTGTCCTGAATCGTCATTCTCTTTCTGTGAACAGAAAAATGAAAGAGAAATATTTGTCTGTGATAGTTACCAGTCTTGCTCGGTGCTTTTTAGTGTAATGTTGATTTCTTCTTTTTCATTTTAAAGGGCAAAAAACCCACTTAATCCATGGGTGCTATGTAACATTAAAAAATCTAATTCCACTGGCTCAACTGGGGGGTTACAGACAAAAGAAAGTTATAGTATAGAATTGTGTGTGTTATAATATACACCAAACGGCATTGCCACACTCCTTTAACTGCATTGATACTCATTCACTAGATTTCGAGAGTAACTGGAATTGGATTCTTATGTCACATCCAAAACACATTAATTTTTTCTCCCAACCAGTGATTGTAAGACACAGAAGAAGCACTACGTTTTGTTTTTCTTTTTGTTTAACTGCTAATTATGTCTGCAAAAATAGAAGGCATTCAGCTGATAAATGCAGCCGTCCTCCTGTTCATACTCAGATACGCTGATTGCTCTCAACAATCCGTGAAAGCTATGGACAAGTTTAACGAGGGATTACTGAACACAGACGGCAAAAGCAGCTGTGTGCAGATGGATGTAAGAAAACATCCGTGAGTCCCAATTAGCTGTCAAGATATTATTGTGAAGTTGTGGAATACTGCTATCCCATCTGGCTGTGAAGCTGTTATAATTAGTGGTGGGCAGATCGATCCAAAGTATCGATCAATACTTATATCGGATCAATACTTACGTGATGGAATCGATACTTTAGTTTTTAGTTTCTCTTGTCTACATTCAGCAACCGTTACATAGTGGTTGTGCGAACTTCTCTCCTCACCTTCACTCCTCTTTTCTTGCTCACGTCTCTCCTCTTTCTCACTTCTCTC